TCCAATACTCTGTCCTCACTGATCCATTTTTCTTCTTCTTCCTTTAGTCTACTATTTATTTCCTCTAGAGTATTTTTAATTTTAGTTATTCAGTTCTTCATCTCTAACTAGTTCTTTTTTATGTGTTCTCTTTGTGAAGTGTCTCACTGAAGTCTTCCACTCTTTTCTCAAGTCCAGTGAGTATCTTTATGACCATTACTGTAAATTCTCTACCAGGCATATTATTTATCTCCATTTCATTTAGCTCTCTTGCTGTGATTTGTCTTGTCTTTCATTTGGGACATAGTCTTCTGTCTTTTCATTTTGACTAGCTCTCTATGTCTGTTTCCATGTTAGGAAAGTTAGCTCATCTCCTGCTCTTGAAAGTAGTGGTCTTATGATCATAAGAGGTCTTGTAGTGTCCTACAGTGCAATGTTCTCTGTTCATCAGAACCTCATAAGCATCTCCTATGTGTGTTGTGTGCACTCTAGTGTTGTGACTGAGCCATATTTGCCTTCAGCCTAGTTGTCTGCAGTGGCTCTCTTTGCCTGTAGTGGCAGGGTTTGGTCCCTGTGCTGTTAGTGGGCCAGTATGGGGCTGCCCTGGGCTTGAGTTGAGTCAAACCAGGCATTTGCAAGAGCTGCAAGAGCACTGAACTGCAGGGTGCTCTCTCTGTGTTGTCCTCTTAGAAGCTTTCATTGGTGGGCAGGGCCTGTAGTCAGACCAGATGTCTGCCCCCAGCCCACTGTTGGGGCTGCAGTCAGACTGGTATGTGTGGTTATCTTACTGTCTCCCTGGGACAGGAGTTACTTTGGAGTGGTACTGGCCTATTGGGGCTGCTTATACACTGGTAGGCTTATGGTGCCACTTTGGATTGACTTCTGCTGAAGGCAGGTCTGCAAGAGAACACAGGGGCAGGCACACAGTGTTAGCAAGGTTTGCATTGGTCTGCTGCAGGCGGGGACTTGCAACAGCTTTAGAAAACTCCTGCCACTGGACTGGATGGGGTGCGTCTGGAGGAGAATATGGGGGCTAAGCACAAGGTGCCAACAAGGTCCACTGCGGGAGAGGAGCTGCAGCTGCCCAGGAAAACTGCCAAGGCCAGCTGGGTTGGAGGGGGCAGATCCACAGAAGTGTTCAGGGGTGGAGCATGCTGTTAACAAGCTAGATGGAGAGTGTTCCTGCAGTGCTGGTTCCCACAGGTGTCCATGCATACAGTCTGGGAAGAAGGGAAAGGACATGGTGCCTGCCAGCTCTTTTCTTATTGGGAAAGTCTCCCAAAGATCTCTGCCCCTCCAGCACATGCGCTCAGATTAGTAAACAAATCTCCATCCATATACCCCAGGTGTTTTTCAAACTGCTGCTTCTATGCTGTATCTCAGTGGGGCTGTTTGTTGTGCTATCTCTTCAAGGACAGAGACTCAGTTTCCTCTCTCCCTCCAGCTCTCCCAGAGCTGAGCCCTCTGAATTTTAAAATTCCAGTTGTTAAGCCCTGCTGATTTTAAGAACTTACAAAATTAGGGCCCTCTGGTTCCAAACCCAAATGTTATGGAGATTTGTCTTCCCAATGTAGGTTCCCCACGTCTGGGATGCCCGGTATGGGATCTGCTCCTCTCTTCTCTCTGTACACACGGTATCCCTCCCTTCTGCAGATAGTCCTGCAGATCAGTTTGTCTCCTGACCACATCTCCATCTTTCCCTATCCTCTTCAATGTGAACTATTTGCCAAATTTAGCTGTGGAAAGGCTGTTCTGCTAGTCTCCAGGTCATTTTCTGGGTTATTTACATTGATGTGGGTGTTTTCTAGTTGCATCCATGAAGCAAGATGAGCTTAGGGTCCTCCTACTTTGCCATCATCCCCAGAAGTCTTTTAATTTTTAATTGAAGCTTAGTTGACCTATATATAATATTATATTGGTTTCAGGTGTACAATATAGTGATTTGACATTTATATACATTATAAAATGCCCACCACAGTAAGTGTAGTTACCATCTGTCAGCATACAAAATTATTACAATATTATTGACTATATTCTCTATGCTGTACTGAGTCAATAATGTTTTTTATCATTACTCTTTACCCATAGAATATAGAATCACATATTTTTACCTCAACAATGTTCTTTCCATGCTTTAAAGGAGGCAATGAACCCTACCATTTCAACTTGGAATTTCACTGAGTTACTTTTACATGATTTTTTAAAAATCTTCCAGGTTCTTTATTCCAAAGTTTAAATTCCTCTTAACTGCTTCTCAATAGAAAATAGTAGATCATCCCATTGTTATTCTTTCTGATCTTCTTTGAAAACTGACCTTTTTCTTTTCCTTTCTAATAATTTTATCAGGTTCAGCATCCTGCTCAGTAAGAAAAGGAACATAACATGAAAGAAGTGGAAATATTCCAAGATGATATTTCATTAGTGAGAAAGTAGTTTTCATGTATTTACTGATGATTTTGACTATCATCCTATTCTTGAACTGGCATATTTCCAATGCACTTTTCTTAAAATTAAAGTCTTTGTGCTACTCAGACCTACTTAAACTTCATTATAAAAGTAAATAGTGGGGAAGCCTGGGTGGCTCAGTTGTTAAGCGGCTGCCTTTGGCTCAGGTCATGATCCCAGGGTTCTGGGTTCAAGCCCCACATCGGGCTCCCTGCTCAGTGGGGAGCCTGCTTCTCTCTCTCCCTCTGCCTGCTGCTCTCTCTGCTTGTGCTTTTTCTCTGTGTCAGATAAATAAATAAAATCTTTAAAAAAAAAAAAAGTAAAGAGTGCTCTCACAGAAAATTTTCTAGATTTCTGAGTGGTATAGATTATTAATAAAGGACTAAATGTAATAAAATGAAGAGAAAGAAATGTCATTGAACTTAACCATAGGAAAGTTTCTTATGGATTTATTTATTAATTTATTCACTCTCCCCCTCCCTCCAAAGCATTTTGAGCCCTTCATCCCCTGGTGATGGAGATGCAACACCAACAGTCTCTAAGCAGACATCAGACAAAGGGAGTGGGGGGATAAAATTTCCTATTTAAGAAACAGAAATCCCTCACTAGACGTGGAATTTAAGAAACAAAACAAACAAGCAAAGGAGAAAAAAAGAGAAAGAGGCAAAACAAGAAACACTCTTAACTACAGAGAACAAACTGATGGTTACTAGAAGGGAGGTGGGTGGGGAATGGGTTAAGTAGGTGATGGGGATTAAGGAGTGCACTTGTGATGAGCACCAGCTAATGTATGGAATGTTAAATCACTATATTATACACCTGGAACTGATACTGCATTGTAAGTTCACTAATTGGAATTTAAATACTTAAAAAAAAAATGGCCTCACTCAACATTCCAAAAAAGAAAAAGAGAAAGAGAGAGAGAGAGAGAGAGAGAGAAAAGAAAGAAAGGAAAGAAAGAAAGAAAGAAAGAAAGAAAGAAAGAAAGAAAGAAAGAAAGAAAGAAAAAGAAAGAAAGATCCCATTAGGCAATAGAGGACCCACATACTCTTGGAGGAGTTGTAATTTATCCCATCTCCCCAAAAGTTGGATCTAACATTTAATTCCCATTTTGCCTGAATTGCAGTGCACACAGCACTTCATGAGAAGGTGTGGAGGCATAGTGGCCTGGGCCCTCAAACCACGTGTCAGGAGCTAGCCTCAGGGGTAGGGGGAAGCTAAGCAAGGCCTGTTTTCCCTCTGGTCCTTGTGCTTAAAGCAAAGCCTGAACCTCCTCCCCAGAGTGCCCCATCTGGCCACCCTCAGCCAGGGGAAGAGGTGAAATCTGTGGGATGAGGTAGAGCCTCTACAGCCAAAAAAGCAGGTGTTCTGGGGAGACAGCTTGATGGACCTTTGAAAAAGTTCTAGGAGACAGACCTCATAGCAGTGCCAAGAACCTCTTAGGGTAATTGGTGGATGACTTACTAATGTTATCTGGAAAACCTTTTGCAAAACTCCTCTCTCTAAATGACATGCATTTCCTTGGAGTCTTTTTGCTTTCAGTCTAATCTGTTAGTTTCAGATCTGGTAAGGAAAAGGAAAAGTCTACTTCTCCATTAAGAATTTCCTGAAATTGAGGTGCCTGGGTGGCTCAGTCAGTTAAGCGTCTGCCTTTGGCTCAGGTCATGATCCCAGACATAATCCCAGTGTCCTGGAATCGAGTCCCACATTGGGCTCCCTGCTCAGCAGGGAGTCTGTTTCTCCCTCTACCATTCCCCCTGCTCGTGATCTCTCTCTCTCTCAAATAAATAAAATTTTTTTTTTAATTCCTGAAATTGGTGGGAAGGGGAAATATTTTCATATTTGGGGGGTTCTCCTCTGAAGACTTTATTTTTCATTCCCCAAAATATTTCCATACCCATTCAAATTTGGTAAGGCAGCTGTGATGAATGCCTTTAGTCATCCGTTTGGTATGTGCTCTCTCAAATATTTAGCACTGCCAACCTCAGAAGGGAGTTTTAATGAAACAAATGACTTTCTTTAGTTCCCAACCATGAGGCCAGGAAAGATGTACTGAAACCCAATGAAATCCTGTCAATGAATGATCACCAAGTGGTATTTTTGCAAGCAATGTAATATAATGATTTGTTCAGTTATAAACATAGTTACATTACCTGATCCTTTTCTGTATGATCTTTTACAAATTTTTTTTAAATTACAGGGATTTATGTATGTCCATAAGTATAGCCCTGGGTAGAGGACAGAAAGAATATTCCCTTAAAAAGGAAGAAAATAGGTATGGATGAGACCCACCCTTACAGAAAGGAGACTGTTCTTATCTTCAATCCAAAACAAATCCCCAATAGATTAATGGCATAAATAATTTATAAATGTTCAGACACTTTTCAAAATTCATGCAAAATAACAAAGCTGATGAGTTCATTAGACCAATTTTTACCAACTATATGTAAAAAGACTTTCATTGAGACGGCTTGCGTGCCCTTGTCAAGCGGTGCAGACCTACGGCAAAGCGGAGCCCTAGGAAATTTGTACCATTCTCACCCTCGTGGTACAGTGAAGGAAGCTTAGGCTAATAGAGCCCCTCCTCCGCAGGTGCAGGCCTGGTGTACTCTTCTGTCTGGTCAGAGTGAAAGAGAACAATGCAGAGGGACTCTGGCCCACTAGTACCTTTACATTGGATTGGCTTTGGCTATGCAGCTTCTGGTGGGATCATTGGCTATGCAAAAGCAGGTAGTGTCCCATCACTGGCTGCTGGGCTGCTTTTTGGTAGTTTAGCAGGCCTGGGTGCTTATCAGCTGTCTCAGGATCCGAGGAACATCTGGGTATTTCTAGCTACATCTGGAACGTTAGCTGGCATTATGGGAATGAGATGCTACCACTCTGGAAAATTTATGCCTGCAGGCTTAATCGCTGGTGCCAGTTTGCTGATGGTCGCCAAACTTGGAATTAGTGTGTTGAATAGACCCCATCAATAGTAGTCATGTCCCGCTTGGACTCATGAAGAATTTAAAAACTTCCACTATTTTTAGTGTATTAAGAGAAACAAGTGCAGCATTTTCACATATTCTGACATTTTACTTAACAAAACAGAACAAAAATAACATTGAACTTTCCAGAAGAAATCAGTCATTATCATTACAGCCTTAAAGAGGTGGGTGGTATGTAACCCATGAGCTTCTTATATATTTTCATACAGTTTGATTCTTGTACGTGATGTTCTCTCTTCTTTCTGTATCTATGGGTAAAGTCTCAAGGGGTAAAATGTTAGGTATCAACATTGAGGGCCTTGAAACCCCATGCCCTACTCAGAACAGTGTGAAAAAAGTCTCTTAGGAACTTTAGGATTTTTCTTTGGCTTATCCTAGAGCACAGACCTACTTTGAAATTATGTCAAATGAAATATATAAATAAAGTTTACTGTAAGTAAAAAAAAAAAAAGACTTTCATTGAAATAAATAAATGTTTCTTTTAACTTAAATTCAACATTTCTTACTAATTTTTTTAGATTATTTATTTACTTATTTGATAGAGGGAAAGAGAGAGCACAAGCAGGAGTGGCAGGCAGAGAGAGAGAGAGAAGCAGACTCTCTGCTGAGCAGGGAGGCTGATGCGGGGCTCGATCTCAGTCATGACCTGAGCCAAAGGCAGATGCTTAACCAACTGAGCCACCCAGGTGCCCCAAAATTCAACATTTCTATTTCTTTAAAGATTTTTATTTATTTATTTGCCGGGGGGGTGGACAGAGAGAGAGCACAAGCAGGGGGAGAGGCAGGCAGAGGGAGAAGTAGGCTCCGACTGAGAAAGGAGCCCGATGTGGGACTCATCCCAGGTCCCTGGGATCATGACCTGAGCAGAAGGCAGATGCTTAGCAGACTGAGCCACCCAGGTGTCCCTCAACATTTCTAAATCCACACTCCCAATCCTCTCATGCCTTAGATTCTTTACCAGATAAATCTATCTTCTATTATCAGAAAGAGGATAAAATACTAAATTCCATTTAATTTTCTTAGAATTTCTAATGTCAAATAAGTAAAATAAAAACTGATTTATAAGCAAACGTAAGAAAGAAAAGCAGGGAAAAAAATCTCCAAGGAGACAAACATGCATCAGGTTAAGGAAAGCAAAAGAATTTTTAAAAATTAGGTAAAATATACAGAAACTATAATATTTCAGTTAGCTCTACTGGAATCCTCTTTTCACTGGGTAGTTTGAGTTACAATGATTTTTGAAGAAATTGATTCTAATAATTTCCCATAAAATTGTTCACAAGTCTGATTCTTTTTCACAAAATCAAGAATGTGTGGGTCTCTAGATTTTTCTGAAATAGAAAGACTTAAAATATAAAAAGTACTTAAAATCATTACTATATGTGGATATAATGTCTTCACTACCCCACATCAAATCACCCATGCATTCTTTTTATTATTAATATCACCATCATTATTATAACTCCAAAACAGTAATTTAGTCTACCTTTGCTAATGAAGTCAGATTATAACATGCTAAAAAATAATTCTTTATCTAAGAAATGGAAAGGTCTGCTCTGCTAAAGTCTCACTCCAAGAATACAAGGACATGCAAGTTTGCTGAGCTGAAGGAAAAGACAGATCGTCATTCTGGAAAAAAGCTGGAAGATGGTCCCAAGTTCTTGAAATCTGGTGATGCTGCCATCATTGATATGGTTCCTGGCAAGCTTATGTGTGTTGACAGCTTCGCTGACTATCCTCTGGGCCGTTTTTGCTGTTCATGATATGAGACAGACGGTTGCTGTGGGTGTCATCAAAGCAGTAGACAAGAAGGCAGCTGGAACTGGCAAGTTCACCAAGTCTGCCCAGAAAGCTAAGAAGGCTAAATAAATATTATCCCCAGTCTTATCAGTGGTGGAAGAACAATCTCAGAACTGTTTGTGTCAATTGGCCATTTAAGTTAATAGTAAAAAATTGGTTAATGATAACAATACATCATAAAACCTTCAGAAGGAAAGGAGAATGTTTTGTGGACCATTTGGTTTTTGTATGTGTGTGGCAGTTTTATTAGTTTTTAAAATCAGCACTTTTTAATGGAAACGACCAAAAATCTGCCACAGAATTTTGAGATCCATTAAAACAAAAGTTTAATGAGAAAAAAAAAAGAATACCTGGTCATTACCTCTATCATTTGGCAGGAGAAGAAGCAGGTAGGGCAGAATCAAATAATTTACCCATTTAACAGAGATCAGTAAACTACGACCCACAGAGTCAGGATTTCAAAAACACTTATTGTGGGGGGTTTTTCCCCCTCTTTGGCTTCCCAGCTAAGCATGTTTTATACATTTTTAAATGGTTACATCTTAGATGGTTACATACGTACCTATATCATGGTCTCAATTCTGTCTCTTGGCCTGCAAAGCCTAAAATACTATAACTACCTTGCCCTTAGAAAAAGTTTGTCAACCCTTGATCTAGAATATTCTGATTATCAGCATTCCCAAAAAGAAAAACCACTACTCTGGACACAGCCAAAGGTTTAGGAGCTTACAGCTAAGAGAAGCTACTAGCAATTATCTTTCACCATGTAGAAATTCAAATGGCACAGAAAATTCCAGCAAGCAAGATTAAACTCACTCTAGACATAAGAAACACTTTTTACAAACAAAAGATACAAATGAGCTAGAGGTGTTTTTTTTTTTTTTTCTGTACCTATATGACCACAAGTCAAAACTGTTAGGAAACATATCATATAAAATCTTGATAACTAGTTATATAAGTAGGTATTTATATATTTAATTGGCATGCTTACTATATATATTTCTAGATTTTTCTGGAAAGAGGTTGTATCAGTCCTGAGAAAGGTGGGAATAAACATGGGGTTGGAGAAAGACACACTAAAGATAAAGAATAAACTAGAAAGAAAAGATTACCTAATCTATTTCTAAAGGCCTATTTTTAATGGCTTCATGGGCTTCTTTTTTGCAGTTTAAGTCCCTCCTCATTATTGAGTTTCTGCAGGCACAATTATGCTGGTATTTATCAGCACCCTATCAACTAGACAACTGTTAGCATGAAAAGAGCTAAAATGTCTAGGAAGGCTATGGTTGTATCAGCATATTTACTTCTGGAAATAGAGAGACTCCTAAAAGCATAAATTATCTTTCCTGCTTATAACAACATCTGATATCTTTAGTGGAAATACCATGTATGTGTACTTCCTAATAAGATGAATACCTCCCTATTTGAAATAATAGATAGATCTTCATGCAGACATACTTACACATACACACTAGGCAATACAGTGTGATTTTTTTCAGATCGTATACTTTCCGAAGTACTTCTATTATATATATACTAATCTCATTCAAAATATAATTTTTATTTGTAATATAATACTTTTTCATTGTTCAATGAAGAGCTGAAAAGGCAATTCATTTAAGCTCAATTTTAATATGGTCACAGAACTTACCATCAAAAAGACACAGTCATAGTCATTGTCATAGTCATCACTAAGGGGCCTGTGAGCAAGCCAGGTCAAAAGTCCATCACATTCCTTTTGTATAACCAGTGAAGTAAAAACTGGATCATCACAAAAGATGTATGTATGTAATACATATATATATTATTAACTCTATTAACTCTAACCTATTTCTCTAACAGTCCCATCAGTATTAAGTATTTATGAAACTATATATAGGTGGAGTATTTTTTTTTAAAGATTTTTTTTTTTTTATTTATTTGACAGAGAGAGAGAGAGCGAGAGCAGGAACACAAGCAGGGGGAGTGGGAGAGGGAGAAGCAGGCTTCCTGCAGAGCAAGGAGCCCGATGTGGGGCTCGATCCCAGGACCTTGGGAGCACGACCTGAGCCGAAGGCAGACGCTTAACGACTGAGCCACCCAGGCGCCCCTAGGTGGAGTATTTTTATTATAAGTTGGAAACTATACAGACTTTTACCTGGTAATGTTCAAATCATATTGATATATTAGATATTATATTCACTTCAATATATTATATATTATAGTCACATTATTCTATCTAATTTGTTCTATCCAGATATGATATAATACACAGACATTCTGATGAGACATTCATTCCACAAGTTTAGAGTTTACAGCACTGAATTCGGCACTTTGTTAACTCTATCTCTTAAGAAAAGGCAAATCCTTCATCATGTCTCCAATAAACTTAACTATAGCAGACATCATGGAATAAAACCCAAATCAGGCATCTTTTCCAAGAAGATTTCTGAAAACAAATATAAAATTAAATTGGGAGGAAATACACAACTATCCTATAAGAATTTTGAATGTTATTTTCAAATCTCACAAACAATATTTCACATGAATTTGATTCATGTTCACCAAGTTAGCTCTTCCCAATGATGTATTACTTACACCAAAAATTTTGGAGCAAGGCAGAATATAAAGAAATAGTATAAAGCCATACAGATAGGTATGTAGATGGTAGCAAATGGATCAACAGATAGACAGAAAAACACATGGGTTTTTCACTTCTAAATGCTTATTGTTTTTATTATTTCCTATGTCAAGTAAAGAAATAATAGCACTTGAAAAGAGTTGCTCAGAAGTGACCCATACACAGCCTCCAACAAAGTAAAATGACAAAATAAATAGTAAAAATTAATAATCAAATTGCTTCATCCATCATAGAATAATCTTCAGGGCCTCTTTGAATTTTTAGTTTCACATTTCCTATATATGGCTTACATGCTGAATATGATAATGGACTAATGGATTTTTTCTACATATCAAAATTACAAAGAAAAATTATAATCTTTCTCCTCCCTCATTCCTAAAATTCTGGACAATACCCTGTTCTATCAACACATCTAAAATTTCCACTTGCTTTTCTCTTACATCTCTGACATTCCTTTGGACCATTTACTTCCCTCTGAATTACAATCTATACAAATACGTTTAATGAGGGGGTGATGCTCATTAACTCAGTTATTGTGTGTCTGAAAATATCTATATTATCTCATCTTCTTAAATCGGACTTTTTCTGAGTACACTATCTGCCAATAACTGACTTTTGTTTCATTACTTAAAAAACATGACTTCATTATCTTCTTGCTTCTATTGTTGCTGTTAGGTCAACTAACAGTCTAACTTTTATTCCTTTATAGTAAATGTTTTCTGATTCTTTGAAGAACTTTATGTTTTGCTGCTGTTGCACAATGATGTGTCTTATTATATGTTTGTATGTTTGCATATTTAATGTGAGATTGACTAAGCATCTTGAATTCAAATATTCATGTCTTCCATTAATTCGAAAAAACTTTCAGTCATTATCTTTTTGAATATTGCTTACCCCAATACTGCCTCTATCTTCTGCTTCTGAAACTCCAATCAGACATGTGACTGACTCTAGGTATCCAAAGACTTAGGGATATTAGAATGTTAGAACTGATTTATCACATAAGATCTGCTCACCC